CTATTTCCTTCCCTAGATAGGGGACGTTTTTAGCAATTATTTCTTCAAAGACTCACTCTATCACTTTTTCTCTCTCTTCTTCTTCTGGTACCCCTATACTGCGAGTATTGTTCTGTTTGGATTGGTCACAGTTCTCTTAATATTCTTTAATTTGTAGAGATCTTTGTTTCTCTCTCTGCCTCAACTTCTCTGTATTCCTGTTCTCTGATTTCTATTCCATTCAGTGTCTCCTCTACCTCACCTAATCTGCTTTTAAATCCTGCCATTGTTTGTTTCATTTCAGTTATCTCCCTCCTGAGTTCATCCCTTAGCTCTTGAATATTTTTCTGTAGCTCCATTAGTGTGCTTATAACTTTTATTTTGAGTTCTGTTCCAGGAAGATTGGTGATTTCAGTCTCACTGTGCCCTCTTTCTCGTGTTTGAAGGATTTTTTACTGAACAAGGTTTTTCTGCCTTTTCATAGTCCTGGAGCTATGGGAGTGGTTGCAGGCGAATCGCAGTGGTGTTAGCTGGGAGGACAAAGTCCCTTCCTGCTTGCCAGTTTCCATGCCTGTCTCTGCTGTCTCTGCTGGTTAACTGCACGATAACCCACGATAACAAAGCCCCTTTGTGGCTCCCTGTTTCAGTGCCCGTCTCTGCTGTATATGCCGGTCAACTGCGTGCAGGGAACAGCCTCTGGGTCTGGGCCAGTTAACCGCACACAGGGTTAAGCTGTGTAGTTGCTGTAGGTGGGGCTGCCCTTCAGATGGTCTGCAGCAATGGCAGGGACAGCCGGTTTGCACACAGATGCCAGTGGCACAGAAGGAGTGGTACTCTGCTTATCACGATGAGGGGCCTCGGGGCTGCATTGTGAAGCAGGGGGATGGAGCGGCGGAAGCTCCTGAAAGTTCCCAGACTGCTGAGCTGAGTATACCCAGATGGTTTTGCCCCACCTTTCCTTCTTCGAAATCCTTGCCTCTTTAGAAGCCTTCTGACTGTGGAGAGGTCCCTTAAAGCACCTGCTTTTCTTCTGTCCCAGGGCACCTGGTTGTGGGAACCTGTTTGCAGTCTCAGTCTCAGACTTTGCTTTACAGCCCCTCCAATCTCCAGAGCACCATGTGATGTGGGTCTGTGCTCCTGGGGCATATCTCTCGGGCTGTGTATTCACCCTGTCCTGTGCTTCATCTCCCTCCTGCTCTCATTCTTTTCCTCCTGAGCTGGGGTGGGGGTGGGGGTGCTGGGGTCCCACTGGGTCGCAGCATGTTACCTTCCCCTTTTCCATGAGATCTTGACTTCTGTTGTACTGTTGTACTGTTACTTCTGATCACTCTTTTAGGAATAGTTGTACTTGCTGTATTTTCAAAACATTTGTGGTTTTGGGAGGAGATTTCTGCCACACTTGTCATGCTGCCATCTTTTCTCTTCCCTCTTTGATTGGATTAAAAAATTTTTTTGTGTGTATCTGTTATAGGCTTTAGTCTTGTGGGTGGTTTCCATATAAGGTTCATAGATGGTTTCCTAAATATATAATAGTCTATATTAAGTTGATGGTCACTCAGTCTATTTTAAACACATTCTAAAAGTACTACCTTTTTATTCTTCTTCCCCCTCTTCACTTTATCTATAAGATATCATAATCTATATCTTTTGTATATCCCTGGACTGATTTTTTATGTAGTTGATTTTAGTACTTTTTTTAACTCCATACTTGCTTAGTAAGTAATTGGTTTACTACTATAATTGTAGGTTTATTTTTACTTATTTGAAATATTTAGGCTTAACGTTTCCATCTGCAGGTGTCCCTTTAACATATCCTATAAGGCCAGTTTTGTGGTGGTGAATTCTTATTTTAACTTAGGTTTATCTGGGAAACATTTACTCTCTGCTTCAATCCTGAATGATAATCTTGCTGGGTAGAGGATTCTTAGTTGCAGGTTCTTTTCTTTCAATACATTAAATATCTCTTGCCACTCCCTCTGTACTGTACAGTCTCTGCTGAGAAGTCTGCTTATAGCCTCATTATGAGGTTGTCATTATAAGTAATTTTTTGCCTCTCTCTAGCTGTTTTCAGTACCTTCTCTTTATCCTTAATCTTTGTTATTTTAGTTATTTTATGCCTTGGTGTTGTCTTCCTGAGGTTCCCTTTATGAGGGGCTTTCTATGCTCTTAAGACTTGGGTCTGTCATTTCCTTCCCCACACTGGGGAATTTTTCAGGAATCATTTCTTTAGAGAGACTCCCCACTCCTTTGTCTCTTCTCCTTTTTGCGCCCCTGTTACGTGAGTATCGTCTCCTTCGCAGTCATCGCGCCGTTTTCCCGGCACCCTCTTGCTTCTAGAGACTCTTTCTCTCTGTTCCTTAGCTTGTTTGTGCTCCTTTTCTCTAATTCCCATCTCGTTGTCTCCTTTACTTGCAGCAATCTATTATTCATGCCCTCCATTGTATTTTTCACTTCATTTACTGTATTCTTCAGGTCTCAGTGGTTTTTTTCCCATCTCCTCTATTTTTGTTGAATTCCACACTGTGGTCTCCAGTACTTTTCTGCAGAATAGTGAGCATGTTTATGACTGTTATTTTGAAATATTTATCAAGAAGGTTGGTGATCTACCTTATACTCTTTCTGGTGTCTTATTCCTCTTCCTCCTCATTTTGTCTGGGTTTCTGTGTTTCTTCTTTTATATGAAATAGATCCACTATGCCTCTGGTCTAGAGAGCAGTGGCTTTATGAAGAAGGCATCCTTTGGTGCCTAGAAGCTCAAGGCTCTTTTTTCACCTTTGCCTGGTTCTCCTCTGTGGTGGAGCTGCGCTTGCTGTTGGTGGGCTGTAGGTGAGGCCTTCTTTCTGCCTCTTTACAGGCAGTTATTGGTCTCAGTCTGCTGTGGCTGGCAGCTTGCCTTTGTCTACCCTTTGTTAGCTGTGCAGAGGTGCTTCTGTGGGATCATTGTGGGCAGGGCCGCCCTCTTCCTGTCCTGCAGTAAGGCTGCTGCAGGCCAGTGGGGTAGTCTGGGCAGGTGCACAGGGGACCTCTGCCACGGTGTTGAGCTACCAGAGAGAGAATGAAACATTTAGAGCTGGTTGCCACTGGCACCATACCAGTTGGGCTGAGGGAGAGCCAGGAAAGGTGGGAAAGCCTCTGTCTGCCTGCCAGGCAGCAAAGTCTTACCACTGCTAGGTGGAGTGGGCAGGTGGGTGGATGGGATGCACAGGGAGGTTTGCCTTGGGGCTGAGCCACCAATGGGGGAGATGAAGTGTTTGGTGCTGGCTCCTGCAAGCACCCGATCAGTTGGTTTGAGGGAGGACTGGGGAAGCATTGCCCACCGGCCCTCTCTCCTCTGGAGAAAGCCTCCTCCAACCCCACCCCTCTGGTACACTTTCTGCTGCTGATAAATCTTTCAAACTGCCCCTCCTGTGTTGGGTTTTAGTGGGACCAGTGGGGTGTGCCTGTCCTCCACAAGCAGCGGGAGTCCCAGCCTCCCGGGGTGCTCCGGCTCTCCCTGGTGTCCAGCGCTCCTGATCCCCAAAGCCTGCTGTGGTGCGGACTGGTGTGCCCATCGCAGGTCTGCAGGGCCAGGTGTCTAGGACTCCAGAGCACTTCCCCCTCCCCGCTCTGTTCCTCTCCTTCCCACTTGTGGGCTGGGGTGGGCGAAGAGCTTGGGTCCTGCTCAGTCGCGGTCCTGCCGCTTTACCCAGAGGGGTGGTCTTCTCTTCTTCCCCAGGTATAGGTGGTCCCTTCTGCAGTCTTCAGATTGTTTTCAGGGGTAGCTGTATTTGCTCTAGTTGCTTCCTTTGTGTGTATGTGGGAGGAGGTTTGGCCTTGCCTTCCTACCCTGCCATCTTTTTCCCTAGAAGTCTTAAATCTTATTTTCGTTTATTAACTAATCATTTTGACATTTTGTTTATTCCTAGTTCTCTACAGTTGTAAACGAACTATGATATAAGTCTTTGTTTGGATTTTTTATTATTTAGGACAGATTGTGGAAGAAAAGTTGCTAGGTCAAAGGTTTTGAACTTTTGAAGGCTCTTTTGTATTGCGAAATTGCTTTCCTGAAAGATTTTACCAATTAATACTACTACAAGCAGTTAGCTTATAAGAGACGTCCATTACACTGCATTACTATGTTATTGTGATATATATATTACATTTTTATATTTCATTATCATTTATAATTGTCATTGTAGCCTAGATTATGCTATAGTAACAAACATTCATGCTGCGTGTCTAACATGTGTCATCAGCAGGAAGGCATTTCACTTTGGATTCATTTAGTGAACCGGCCTAAGCAGAGCTCCATTAGGTAGAGTTCCAGTTGTGTACTTGTTTCTAAAGCCTTGTGCCTCATAATTTCTCTTACAATGTCTGTGTGGTGAAGCGAGTCACCTAGTTACACCTAAGTTGAAACAGGGCACGAAGGGCTATCCTTCTGTGAGTGGGAAGGAGGAGAACTGCAGTAGCACTAATGACTAACACACTATTGAAAACCCATCTCTAATTTCACTGATGAAAGATATCTCACTTTAATTTTCTTTGTCAATGTAGATGAACATTTTCATCATTTGTTAGCCACTTGTTTTATTTTATTTTCCGTTTTACTTGAGCTTTATAAACACATGCTGTTGGCTTACTTCTACATTTTCAGATGTTTAAATTCCGTATTTTTTGTGAGGATTGGAGGTTATGATGGTGATAAAGGGAGTACAGACTTTTAGAAAATGCCTTTTCTTTTGAAGACTTGAGCAGGTGAATGAAAAATATTTTTCTTGGAATGATACCCTTCCCCATCCATTCATAGTATATGTTTTGATAAATTTTTATTTCAAGAATTTCAAAACATTAAATAATTAAAGGCGCTTGAAAGTCTAATAGAATTAAGATTCTTGACATTTACAGATTTCTGAAGAACTACTTGAACACTAAAGTTTAGGGGGTAAATGATCATGTTAGGGTTCTCCTGTTGAAACAATTAAGTTCCCTACTCAGATGTAGTCATGTTGACCATGTGTTTTCCCTTTTTTTCAATTCAGGCATCTGCCTAGACTGGAGTTTATGCTGTAGACATTTCTTTGTGGATTTGTCTCAGAAGCCAAGGTGAGATATTTTATGAATGCATTCTGTCCCTCAGTGTTAAGTATGATGTTACCTGTAGGTTTTTCTTAACTGTCCTTTATGAGGGTGAGGAAGCTCTCTTTTATTTCTAATGTGTTGAGTGTTTTTGTCATGAAAGAGTTAACATTTGTTGAAACCTTCCAATATATGCCAGGCCCTATGCTAAGTGCTTTTCGTATACAGTATTTAATTTCAGTTTTCAGAATAGTACTTTGAAGTATTCATTTATCCTCATTGAGCTGGTCAGTGGTAGACTCAGATGGTTTGATTTGAAAACTTGCGTGCTCTACCATTATCCATTACATTTCCTGTACGAAGCATATTGATACACATGTGTACCTTTGTGCAAGGCATTTTCCTCCTCCTAGATTGCATACTCCTTTTTTCCCCCATCACAAAGCTACTACAGCACTTTGTACCTATTACTGTTGTAGTAGTTTTTCACTGTGTTGTAATTATTTGCATATATTTCTCTCATTTTAGAATCTTTGCCTCTTAAATTCAGGGGCATTGTCATATTTGCCTTTGAATCTCCAGTGCATAGTGAAGAGACAGGAGAGAGAGATCACAGAGCCGCGGGATTTGAAAGTTTCAGAAAGGGTAGCAGAAGTTAGCAGTGTCAGATACTGCAGAAAGATCAAGTGAAATGAGGTTCACAAGATGACTATTGGTTTAGTCGTTTAGTGACTTTTGCAAGTGAATTTTCTTTTTGTGTGGCAGTGGGGGCAGAGGCCAGATTCTGCTAGATTGAGCAGTGAATGGGAGCTGATAAGAGACTGTCAGGAAGTATAGACGACTACTCTTGTGAGAGGTTTAACTGTGAAGGCAAAGAATGAGTGTAGGGTGCTACCTAGAGAGGAACATATGGCATTTTTTAGTATAGGAGAGGCTTGAGCATGAGTATATATAGAGGCAGTGGGAGGAGGAACCACTTAAGAGCAAGTTCATGGAAATGGGGAGAGGAGTAACGGGGGAAGAATCTCCCTGCAGAAAGAGGAGCTTGCATGCAGAATACAAGATTTGCTTGGAGTGACCCCTTTTCTTCTGAGGGAAGGAGGTACCATGGATGCAGCCAGAAGTAAATTTATGGGTGTAAATTGGGAAATAAAGGAAGTTTCCTTTTCTCTGAAGTAGAAAACAAGGTCCATGGCTTGGTGATATGATTGGCGATGTTCCGGGAGGTGATGTGGTTGGAGATGTTCTGAGTAGGCAACAGGGCAGGGAGTTTGAGGGGAGTGGGGAGGGTTTGAAATACCTGCTGTGAGACATGGAAGAGGTTGGTTATCAGAAAGGTTTTTGAGAGCCTCTTTCTCCCCTCTCTCTGTGTAAATAGAAAAAACAGGAAAATAGTCAGAAATTAAGATGGTACAAAAGGATTTATAATGAAAAGTAAGTCTTCCCTTCACTTTAGAGTCCTCCTATTTTCAAAAGATGAATGCCATTAGCAGTTTATATATATATATATATGTTAGCAGTTTATATTTACTTTCAAATTGGTTTTACAAATGTGTGTATGTATGTATGTATGTATATATAAATATATAATTTACTTTAATCCATAAAAATTTACTATTTTATCCTTTTTCAGTTTACTTCTGTATCTTGGACATCTTTTCATATACTTAGACCTACCTTGTTCATATTTACAGTTGCAGGAGGCTTTGTATATGAATTGTGGTATAAACTGTATAACTAGTGTTTAAATGGTTTCCAGTCTACTCCCATAAAAGTCATGTTGAATGAATAAATTCTACCTTTTAAAAATACAAAACATTATAATACCTTAATTCTGTGCCTTCATTTTAGATTTTTTCTGTATGTACACACTGAGCAAACTGATAGTATGTATATACTAAAACTGAGTTGTCTTTAAAACATAAAGACATCTTAAATATTCAAAAGTGATACCCTTTAGTTACCATGCCCAATTTATTCTGGGATTGAGTGATAAGAATCCTGTTTTCAGAGGTTTGTTATTTTGAGCACTGATGCAAGAAACATTCCTATACATGACTTTCGTAGTACATTTGAAAAGAGGTTCCTGGGAATATACCTGTGAATGGAATTGCTGGGTCATATAGTAGTAAATGTTAAACTTAAGGAGATAATGCAAAATATATTTCCAGAGTGCTTGCACTATTTTATTCTTCTATCATCAATGTATAAGTGATCCTGTTGTTTTATAGTCTCTCCAATATTTTAAATTTTGCTAGTTGAATAATCTAAAAGAGTATCTAATTGTGATCTAAGAACTGTGGTATAATTTTCAATTTTACTATAAAATGGACAGATCTTAAATATACATTTTAATGAGTTTTAACAAATACATATACCTATGTAATCCACTCTCCTATAAAATTCAAAACATTTTTATTACCTTTTAAGTTTCCTCAGACTCCTTCCTTGACAGTCTTTCTCCTCACCAGAGCATATCACAGTTCTAATTTCTATAACTTTTTTAGAAAGAATCATCTGTCCTCACCATCACCAACATCTTTCCTCCCATTCTCTTTTTAAATATGTCTTTCCAAAAAATTGTAGTAAAATATGCATAATGTAAAATTCATCATTTTAACTATTTTAAAATGTCCAGTTTAGTGGTATTAAATATTCTCACATTGTTGTTCAATCATCACCACCATCCATCCCCATAATTCTTTTCATCTAGTAAAACAAGCTCTGTACTCAGTAAACAATAAATCCCCATTTTCCCCTTCCTACAGTGTCTGGCAACCACCATTATACTTTCTGTCTTTAATGGTGTTGACTGCTGGTGCCTCATGAAGTGGAATCCTGTAGTATTTATCTGTGACTGGCTTATCACTTCACATAATGTCCTTAAGATTCAACCATGTTGTAACATATTGAAGAATGTCCTTCTTTTTTTAAAAAAGGGTTGTTTTTTTTTAGGGTTCTATTGTATGTACGTACCACATTTTGCTTACCAATTCATCTGTTGATGAGTATTTGGGTTAACCAGTGTGAAAAATGCTGTTGTGAGTACGGGTGTGTAAATATCTCTTTGAGACTCTGCTTTTAATTTTTTAGGGTATAAACCCAGAAATGGCATTGTTGGATCATATAATAATTCTATTTTTAATTTTCAAAGAACCACCATACTGTTTTCCATAGCAGCTGTACCATTTTAAATTACTCTGAACATTGTATGAGGTTCTAATTTCTTCACATCTTTGCCAAAACTTTTCTGTTTTTTTCTGTTAGTACCTCTCTTAATGGTTATGAGGTGGTACCTCATTATAGTTTTCGATTTGCATTTTCCAAATGATCAGTGATGTTGAGCATCTTTTCTTGTGCTTATTGGCCATTCATGTAACTTGTTGGAAAAATGTCTATTCAACTCTTTTCCCCATTTTTGAATTGTGTTTTTTTGTTGTTGAGTTTTAGGAGTTCTCCATATATTCTGGATATTAATCTCTTATCAGATAAATTATTTGCAAGTGTTTTCTCCCATGTTGTGGATAGTGTCTTTTACTCTTTGTTGAGTGTCTTTTGAAGCAGAAAATTAAAAAATTTTTCATGAAGTACAACTTGTTTTTCTCTTGTTACATGTGCCTTTGTTGTTACGTCTAAGAAATCATTGCCAAATCCAATGTCATGGAGCTTTTGCTGTATATTTTCTTCTGCAAGTTTTATTGTTTTAGGTCTTACGTTTAGGCATCTGACTCATTTTGAGTTAATTTTTGTATGCGATGTAGGTAAGGGTCCAACTTCATTCTTTGCATGTGGATATTCAGTTTTCCCAGCACCGTTTGTTGAAAAAACTTTCTTTTCTTCAGTTAGATTGCGTTGATGACTTTGTCAAAAATAAGTTGACTGTATGTGTGTCTATTTCTGAGTTGTATCTTCTGTTCCATATTTTTTTTCTTTTTGTTGATAACATACTATCTTGATTATGGTAGCTTCATAGTAAGTCTTGAAGTCAAGTGGTGTAGGTTCTCTAATTTTGTTCTTCTTAAAATTTGTTTTGGCTCTTCTAGGTCCTTTGTGTTGTCATATAAATTATAAATTCCATTTTTCAATATAGATTTTAGGAATGACTTTTCAATTTCTATGAAAACATCTGTAGATTCTGTTTAACTCTGTTCACTCCACAGATCAATTTGGGGAGAGTAGGCAGCACTCTATAAACATATAAATGTAATACCTCTCTCCATTTATTTAGATCATCTTTAATCTCTCCAGAGCCACTTATTTTTTTTAGTTTTCAGTGTTCAAATCTTGCACTTTGATTTTTTTTGCACTTTGATTTTATATGCTATTAAAATGTCATTTTAAAGTGTTTGATTTCCAATTGTTCATTACTAATATATAAAAATATAGTTGAATTTTGTGTATTGGCCTTCAGTCTAGTACCTTTTTTTTGTAGATTTTCTAGTCTTTACTGTGGAGCTATGATGTATGATAAACAAACGTAAAGACATTTTTCCTTCTTTTTACCAATCTGTATGTCTGATTTCTTTTCCTTGCCTAATTTTACTGACTAGAACCTTCAGTACAATATTGAATAGAAGTGGTGAGAGCAGATATCCTTGGCTTGTTCCTGATTTTAGGGAAGAATTTTTCAGTTTTTCACCATGAAAATGTTATCTCCTCACATTGAATAGCCCTTTCTATTCCTTGTTTGCTGAAAGTTTCTTTCTTCTTCTTCTTTTACCGTAATTGGGTGATACTGAACTAATTATGTTATAAAAGGATTTTTTTTAAATCAGTTAAAATCATGACTCTCATACAGTAGAGAATGAACATTTGTCAAATATTTTATTTAGCTCACTAATTAATGAGGAAACGAGTAAGATGTTAAAATCAGTTCAAAGGAAATTTTGAAGAACTACTCATATGTAGTAAAGTAATGCTAAAATAAAATTTTCAAATAGAATCAAAAACTGGTTTATCCATTGAGCAATTATCAGTTCTAATCCACTGGACACAACTAATTTGCTCTTTTGTAGAGAAGAATAGTC